CCTCACTCTGCCTCAGATATACCAGGCACAGTCTTACTGTAGGATCTTTTTGTGGGCTGTGCCTGGACTGCTCTCCCGATAGATACCTGTGTGACTCCCTCCTTCATCTCCTTCAAACTGAGACATTTGCTGACCATTCTTTAAAACTTTCAGTCCTAGGGATGCTTGGGTGGCTCAGTCAGGTAAGTGTCTGCCTTTGGCTCAGGTCATGATCCCAGGGTCCTGGGATCGAGCCCTGCATCGGGCTCCTTGCTCAGTGGGGAGCCTGCTGCTCTCCTCTTGTGCTCCCCTGCTTGTGCTCTCTCTCTGTCAAATAAATAAAATCTTTAAAAAAAAAATTTCAATCCTAGCATGCAGCTCTTGATCTTGGGGTTGTGAGTTTGAGCCCCACGTGCAGGTAGAGATTACTTAATAAGTAAAAGTTAAAAAAAAGTTTTTTTTTTAAAATTCAATCCACTTGTATTGGCATTCTGACCCCTTATCCTGTTTATTTTGTTCTTTTATAAACAAATATATAATTTACTTATAATCTGTCTCCCAACAAAGCTGTCTCTCACAGGACCTGATGATCCACACTAGGCACGTAATAAATGTGCATAGAATGAAGGTCTGAAGGGCTTTAGGCGAGACCAGGTAGAGAGTGGGGAGAAGCCCTTCTCCACGTATTCTCCGGTCTGTGTCTCTCTCTGGTGGCCAATCTCAGAACTGCAGCCTGGTACCCCCAACCATTTCCCCATCCCTGCAAACCTCTCAGTACTCACCAGGGCCGGTGGTCACAGAGGTCCCATCAGTGGTGGCTGAGGGCATGGAGGAAGGCTCTCTTCTGGGGGCTGAGAGAAGTGGAGCTCCAATGCAGGGTCAAGGTGGAGGAACTTGGGGGGCTGGAGTGGGAGGTAGGGGTAAGCTCTGAACCGGGGGAGCCAGAACTGGGGTGAGGAGGTTGTGAGGAGGTGGGCGCCAACACTGGACTTGTGGAGCTGGGGATGGGTGGGGTGAGGGGGGTTTTCTCTGAATCTGAAGAGTTGTGGGGGATCGTGGAGACTGCCTCTGAACTACGGGTTCTGGCCAGTTGAGTCTGCTAAAAAAGAAACAGGTCCAAAATGGAGTCACTTGTGCTAAGCCCCAGATCAGCAAACCAAGACTTCATACCTGATCTAATTGCAGTTTCCACCCCTCCCACAGGACTGTGACCTCTACCCCGTCAATCTGGAATGACCCGGTCAGCACTTGGGAGATAATCTGACTGATAGACGCCCTTCCTCTGCTTTCCCCCAAGGAAGGTAAACTTGCTTGAAACAATCCACCCTTTGCCAGAAACTTCCTTTCTCTTCCCCCTTCTGCCTATACAAGGCCTTCCATTTTATACAGCTCCTCAGAGCTCCTTTCTATCTGCTAAGATGGGCGGCTGCCCAATTCATGAATCATTAAATAAAGCCATTTAGATCTTCAAATTTACTCCACTGAATTTTGTGTTTTAACAAGCCTGCCTCTAAACTCAGGGTTCTGGGGTGGATGGTAGAGCCTGTCTCTGAACTCGGGGGGCTGAAGTGGTTGGTGGAGGTTTCCACTGAACTGGGGGAGCTGTAGCTTGGAAGCTGCCTTCTCCATCCTGCTCTCCAAGAGCACCGAAAAAAATAACACTCGGAAGGAAAAGGCCACTAACCTTAGGGGAGGGGATGGTTAGGAACAAGGGTGTGCAGCCCCAGCCCCTCTCTGGATGTCGATTTCCCTATTATCCCAGATGGTAAACACCTGCCTCTCAGCAAGACCTGGAAGATTTAGTTCACCACGTTGAGTGCTCAGTGGGAAAGCGAGGCGCCCTTGTCGGAAGTCCCGCAGTCAGAGTTCCAGGCCAGGCCAGACCCTCCCAGCCCCTATTCTTGCTTTACGATTCTAGAGACCCTCTGAACCCAGGCAGCTTGCTGAGGAACTCTTTTCCTTCCTTCCTTCCTTCCTTCCTTCCTTCCTTCCTTCCTTCCTTCCTTCCTTCCTTCCTTCCTTCCTTCCTTCTCTCTCCCTTTCTCCTTTCTTTCTTTCTTTCTTTCTTTCTTTCTTTCTTTCTTTCTTTCTTTCTTTCTTTCTTTCATTCATTCATTAATTCATTCAGTAAACTCTACCCCCCACATGGGGCTTGAACACATGACCCTGAGATCAAGAGTCACATGCTCCACCAACTGAGCCAGCCAGGCCCCCCCTGGGGAACTCTTTTAAACTTTCTGGGACTCAGTTTGTCTGTAAAATGGACATCACGGTAAGTCAGAGCCTCTGAGCGCTCACACAGGTCTGGCACCTAGTGGGTACTCAGTGATGCTCAGCTGCACAGATCCATTCCGAGCTCCTGGGGAGAATCAGCCCCTGATCCTCACCAGGTACCTGGAAGGTCCCCAAGGCTAAACTCGGAGCCTTAAATGAGGGCCTGGCTCAGAGGCCTGGGCTCTGGGAAGAATCAGGGGACTGGGTCTCTGGAAACCTACCCTGCTTTTTTCCAGCCATTTCCCGGCTCCTACACCATCGTAGGCACTGAGCCCAGGGGCTCAGGGTGGGTAAAGGTTTTGCGGGCCACCTCCCACAATTACTTCCCAGTTCTGGGCTCCAGGCACCTTAGCAGTTTGCCAGGTCATTCATCAACCGCTCCCTGCCCCACCCCATCCACTCTGCCCTGGGCAAATTTGTGTGCTTCCTCCCTTGCCTCACCCCAGGCAGAGAAAATGCGGCAGTAACGTCCAGTGCTGGCCCCAGGAGGGAGCTGGGTCTACACACAGACACCCCACCCCACCCCCCCAGTTCTCTGTCCAGTCTCCCAGGCTCTGTGGGGATAACAGAGAAGTCTAGAAGAGGCATCGTGCACTGGCCTGACGTCATTCCCATTTTACAGATGGGGAACTGAGGCTCAGAAGGGTAGGGAGTCTGGCCCCAGGAGACTGCGAAGGTGGGAAGAGGGCCTCTTAAGGACCTCCGAGGAGTCAAGGGCCAAGAGGCCAGCCTCCCCAAACTGCTTCGCATTACTGAGGAATTTCTGCTGAAATCAGAAGACGACTCAGGGCCACGGTGGACCTCCAGCCGAGCCAGGACCCCGGCGAGCTGAACTTTTTAAAGTGAACTGAGTAATAGCAGTGAGCCTTGAAAGAGGAGGTGAAGGAGGACACAAGCTCTGCTGAGTGCCTGGTACAGAGTAGGCAGGTGCTCATGAGCTGCGGGAGACTCGACCAGAAGGTGAAGTGGGGCTCTTTCCATGCACTGTACCAGGAGTTTCCTTTGCCCAGAGAGTCCCAGACCAGGAGGCTGGCAAGAGCCAAGTCAACTGGTTCGAATCTGGGCCTGGCACAGCTGGGAGACTCGTCTTGCCCAAGCCTGTTTCCTGAGCTCCGCAATGAGGATAAATGCGGTGTCTTCTGAACGAAGCTCTTGCCGGCAGTAAGAGTCTCATGCATGGTGGTCTCCACTCTCAAGAGTCCAGGTTTGGGGCTGGGGCAGAGGGTCAAAAAGAGCAATGACTTGGTGGGAGACGGAGGGCTGGGGGAGGAGGATCCCAGTTCAACTCTTCTGCACTCTGGGAACTGTCTTACAGGGCAGCAGATGGAAATTAAGTCAGGTGCCAAGAATGTCTCCTGGGAGCCATAAATAGCATAAGTGGCCAGGAAGTGAGCCCTTGTGTGTCTCCCCCCCCCCCCCCCCCCTGCCGCCCGGACCATGGCCCTGGGGCCTTCACTCCAATCCCTGCAGGGACTGGCTACAGGAAACAGGTTTGAAACAGAACCTCAGACTGGGTATGGAGCCCCCACTAGCCTCTGGCTGGTCCAGCTCACGCTGGGATGGCAGAACTGGCTGGGGCTGGGGCTGGGGCAGGGGCTGGGGGCTGCAGGCGTGGTGGCACTCCAGCTCTTCTCACCCCTGCCCACCTCCCTCCTGAGAGGAGCGGCCCTTCGTGTTTGGGGGGGAGGCGGCAGGAGGGGCAGGCCGACCAGGGTGGCCTGAGGGAGGGGTCCAGAAGCCAGGCGTGTAGCTGGGCCATGGGCCCCCCTCCAGCTTCCTGGAGGCCAGGTCTCCTCCTGACCTGTTCTGACCTCTACAGGCGACAGTGAAGAGAAATTCCCCGACAGCAGCACCAGAGCCAGCAGCAGAAGTGGTGGCGGTGGCGACCCTGCCGTGCTGGTGCAGGGAGGGCCAAAGGCGGGCTCAGCCCAGGTGTGCAGCCAGGTGCCTGCTCTCAACACCCGCAGGCGCAGGCGCACCCTGCTGGCGGCCGGTGGGAGTGCGCACAGGCTGGGCCTCGGGACACAGGGCCTCTGGGGGGCTGCTACTTACTGTTCACCGGGCTGTCACTCCCGCCGCCCTCTCCACCTGGATCCCCCCACCTCTCCTAAAAACCGCACTTGGACCGTGACCCTGAAGCCCTTAAACTCTCCCTCTCCCCTCAAGACACTCCTGCCGCCCCCCCATTCCCTTTCCCCTCCACTCTGTGGCCCTCTCCACAGCTGCCCCAAACCCACGTCGCCACCCTCCTCTGCCCCTCCTCTGCCCAGGCTACCCCCTCTGGGGTGGCCCCCTCCCTCTCTGCCCTGTTCCTGCCCGTACAGGCTGGGTTTATCTGTGTCTGGCTCGCTCTCACCTAGACCAGGGGTGAGAGAGAAAGGCAGGATACACTTCCCAAATCAGTAAGTGGCTGGAACCCCCTAGCATGTCCTGAACGAAGCACCCATGCATGCACCCGTAGGATTTTCTAGGGCCAAAGAACTCATGGTGGCGATTTTAGGCCAGATCCCCAGACGCTGACTTCTGGAATGTGCTGGGGACAGCTTCCATCTGGAACTGACTGGACCCCACCCCATTAGCCGTGGATAGATACAGCAACAGAGGTGGGACCACACGGTTGGTTCGCCCTGACCTCCGGAAAAGACTTAGGGTCCCCATCCCAGCCACAGACCCCATGTACCAAGTGCATCGTTGGAGGCTCCCATCCAGGATGTTCCAGATCCTCCCAATTCCCCCCCACTCCCCGAACCAGGCCCAAGACACCCCCATGAGCACAGGCGGACCAAGACTCAGGCTGTGGAGGGCTTTATTCGTTAGACCCAGAGAGCCACACTGCCCCTCCCCTGATGCACCCCCCCCACCACCACCAGTCAGCCAACGTCCTAGACGCCTGGCCACTGCATGTGCTGCGAGTTGTCCCACCCTGCTGGTCCCAAGAGCGCATCCGTAGTGAGGGAGGCCCGGGTGTGGTGGCTGCGCCGGGTGGCATGGAGCATCCTGGCAGCCATCTGCTGTTGCCTCAGCCAGCGGCGCACCGTGAAGCCCCTCCAGGCCGACTGGATGGCCGTGGCTGCCTTATGCTGGCGATGGGACTGCTGGGGGCTCCGGGAGGCCATCAGGGTGCCGCAGGCCCACGGCACGCCAGCCTGGACCCTGGAGCCCCGGCCCATGCCGTGCACCACCCGAGTGGGCAGGGTGTGGCCACACATGTGGCACGTGCGGGGGCTGGACCCCACGAGCATCACCACGCTGGGTGGGCTCCCCGGCCTGGGGCTCAGGGACTGGCAGAGGGGGCAGAGGTGCGGCTGGCAGGACTGGAAGCAGTGGTGGTCTGACGCGGACTTGGTCCTGCTGTCCGTCTTGGTCCACGCGCCTGGGAGCAATGCTGCCTGGGTTTGGTTCCGGCGGGTGCAGAAGCCTCGCCATGTGGCCTGGATGGTGGTGGCAGCTTGAGAGAGCCGGACCAAGTTCCGCCGCACACGGTAGCCGCGCCAGGCGGCCTGGATGATGACGGCCCACTGGTGCCACACCTTAATGGTTCGGCGCACCAGGTAGCCGCGGGCACACGCCTGGATGGTGACCACGGCACGGATGATTATCTTCTCCACAGCCTGCATCGACGTCACCAGCTCCCCCGACTGTCTGGGATCCTCCGCTGCCTCTCTACCCGCAGTGTCCCAGGGCACAGGAGCCCTGGCCTGATCCCAGGCGCCACCGGGGGCTCCGGCGCTGCTCACGGGCCCGACGGCTCCACCGGGGACGGCCGAGTTCCATGCTTGGCCACCAGCTATGCCGGCGTCCACAGGGCCCTGGAGTACAGTGGGAGTCAGGGACGCCCTGTGACTGCCTGCAGGAGCCACGGCGCTATGGAAATCCCGGGACCCCTGCATCGACTCCGGGGTAAAAAGGGGCCTCCGGGAACCATCAGGTGAAGACTCATAGCCCAAAGACACCCTCCGAAACCCCAGGGGCAGCTTAGGGACGGTCGTGTTGTGTGCCACCTCGGTGGTGTGGATGATGGGTATCACGGCTGGTGGCGCACTCTTGGAGTGTTCGGGACTCTCCTGTGAGGACCCGGAGGCGTGCTCCTGCACTTCAGGCAAGGGCACAACCCTGGCTACATTACCGTCTAGCATGTCTGAGACAAGACAACCATGCATGAACCTGTAGGATTTTCTAGAGCCAAGAAATTTGTGGTTGCTCCGAGTCAGGTCCCCAGACTCTGGCTTCTTGTGTGCCCTGGGGACCGCTTCTACCTGGAACCCACCAGATGCTATCCCCCCAGCCGTGGGCGGGTACAACATATGTGAGGTCTTGTGGGTGGTCCCTGGCCTCTGGGAAGTGCTTGGGGTCCCCACCCCAGCTAAAGACCCTGGGTACACACTGGATGCCATAGTACTGCTATGGACCAGCTTGGGTGACCCTGAGACCATGGGAGAAGCTCCCATCTTGTGGGCATGGCCCTGGGGCACCCTGTGAGTCACCGAGGGGCTCTGGGGCACCACGTGAGCCACTGATGCCTGTCGAGTCAAGGGGGCCCCAGTAACCTTGACAGGCTCCATGTGCACACTGGGAACCCTGCTAGCAGTCACAAAGTGGGAGCTGGGGGCCTCCCAACTGGTTGCTGACCTCTGCTGCAGAGTTGGAGTGGTGCCACCAGCCACGCAGTGCTTGGCAAAATTCAGGGACTGGGGCGGGACAGGAGTCATGCCACTGGCCAGAGACTTGGTCTGGCTAGGAATCATTTCCAACAACGGCCTTTGACCATCGGGAAGGAGTTCGTGGCTGTGGTCAGTTGACAGGGGATTATGGGACATCCACGGGGTTGCGTCAAGGACCATGGACTCCGCACTGGATGCGGACACCTGGGACACAGCCTTGCTCAGGTCCTCTGGTTTCATCCTGGCCTGGCCATCTGTGGCCTCAAATGGCATCATCTCAAGAGCGTGGCTCAGCTGGGAGGCTCTTTGTAGGACCGTGGGCACTTGGAGTACTCTCCTGGTTGTGCCGCTAGATTCCAAGGCCTGGGGTTGCAGGTGAGCCAGGCCAGTGGCATGGGATGCCTGGAAGGGGGCTGTAGACCCTTCCCCAGGCAGGGCTCCATGGTAAGGACGGGGAGAGATCCCGATCAGCATGGACCCCTGGGGGAGGCTCTGGGCCACATTCCCCACTGTGGATGGCAGGCCAGCTGCGTTATCCGTGGACCCTAGAATCAGGCCCTGATTCAGTCCCCCAGGATCTATGGCTGGAACCACACTAGAGGCCACAGACCCAGGAGACACACCTGGGCCCATCCCACTTGACACTGAACCTGGGATCAGGCTTGGGGAAGTGAAACTCACTGAGGGTCTTATGAAGCTTTGTCTCTTCCCACCAGCCCCAGATGTCGCCATCAGACTGGGGGGTACCCCACTAGCCACAGGACCTGGAGGAAAGTTCTGGGCCACAGCACTGGCCATGGGATCTGGAGGAAGACCCTGGCCCATGCCGCTGATCACGGATCCTGGGGGAAGGCTATGGCTGATACCACAGATCACAGACCCTTCAGGAAGGGTTTGAGCCACACCACCAACCACGTAACCGGGCGGAAGGTGGGGAGGCACAGCACTGATCACGGACCCTGGAGACAGGCTCTGCCCCACGCCCCTGATCACAGACCCTGGGGGAAGGCGGGGGGCCACACCACTGGCCACGGTACCTCGGGCCAGGGCTGTGGTCATCCTACTGGCTACAGAACCTGGCACCAGGCCACTAGCTGTGTCCATCACGGGCTCCTGGCTGAAAGCATTTGCTTGCTCATAACCGGGTGCCGTGATTGTGGACACCGAAGGATGCTGGTGGTTCAAAGATACTGGGAGATCAACATTGACCTGAGGCATGCTGGCGCCTGCGTTGGCCTGAGAAAACCTGAATGGACTCGTACCCAGTCTGTTGGGCACTGAAGCCCGAGAAAAACCAGGGCCCTCTGAGGCTTGCTTGTGAATCAAAGGGGCACCTGCCACAGGGGCTGGGGATGCAATGGGAGTCACGCCACTGGCCATCTGAAACTGGTTTGGGCCCAGACCAGTTGTCACACTTCTCTGGCACACACTCCCTGTCATACCCGGAGATACAGGCCCTGGAGACATACTTAGGAACATACCAGCGGCCAGGGTCCCCCGAGACGTATTTGGGAACATACCAGCAGCCACAGCGCCCCGGAACAGAGCCCCAGCACATACGCTGGTTCCCTGGTCTAGACAAGAGTCCTCTCCACTAACACCGGATGCCTGGTAAAGATTTGGGGCTGAGAGAGTGACCTCAGAATGTTCAGTGATGCTTGGGCGTCCCCCACCAACACCGAGCGGCTGATGAAACGCCAGGGACACCTCGCTGAACTCAGGGACCTGGGCGTTTGAGGTCACCCCACCAACCATTACAGAATCTTGACAGGGGGCCATCCCAGCGGCCACAGGTGACTGGCTCAGATCTTGGCCCGGGCTGCTCATGGCAGAGGAATATGATGTGCTCCAGGGGACTTCAGTCACAAATGATGGGTGATGCAGACTAGGGGCCACGGCATTCGCTCTTGGTGGTAGATTTGAACCCACTGTAGGGACCCAGCCCGACTGGCCAGCTGGACAACTGGTACCACCGATCACAGATGGCTGGAAGAGGCTGAGGGGCCCCCTGTTGGCCACAAATGAGTGGGCCAGGCTGGGGGCCACCCCACCGGTCACAGGTGGCCGGGCTAGGTTAGAGACCACCACACAGGCCACTGATGGCTGGACCAGGCTGGGGGCCACCACACAGGCCACTGATGGCTGGACCACGCTGGGGGCCACCACACAGGCCACTGATGGCTGGGCTATGACGGGAGCCACCCCATCAGTCATACATGGCTTAGCTAAGCTGGGAGCTATCGCACTGGTCACAGATGGCTTAGCTAAGCTGGGGGTTACTCCACTCCTCATAGACAGCTTAGTTATAGATGGCTTAGCTAGGCTGGGGGCCTCCCCACTGGTCACAGATGGCCGGGCTAGGCTGGGGGCCACCCCAACGGTCACAGATGGCTGGGTTAGGCTGGGGGCCTCCCCACTGGTCATAGATGGCCGGGCTAGGCTGGGGGCCACCCCAACGGTCACAGATGCCTGAGATAGGCTGGGGGCCTCCCCACTGGTCATAGATGGCCGGGCTAGGCTGGGGGCCACCCCAACGGTCACAGATGGCCGGGCTAGGCTGGGGGCCACCCCACCGGTCACAGATGACCGGGCTAGGCTGGGGGCCACCCCACCGGTCACAGATGGCCGGGCTAGGCTGGGGGCCACCCCACCGGTCACAGATGGCCGGGCTAGGCTGGGGGCCACCCCACCGGTCACAGATGGCCGGGCTAGGCTGGGGGCCACCCCACCGGTCACAGATGGCCGGGCTAGGCTGGGGGCCACCCCACCGGTCACAGATGGCCGGGCTAGGCTGGGGACTACCCCAGCGGTCACAGATGGCTGGGCTAGGCTGGGGGCCACGCCACTGGCCACAGATTGCTGGGCTAGGCTGGGGGCCACACCACTGGTCATAGATGCCTGGGCTAGGCTGGGGGCTACCCCACTGGTCACAGATGGCCGGGCTAGGCTGGGGGCCATGCCACTGGCCACAGAAGGCCGGGCTAGGCTGGGGGCCACCCCACTGGTCACAGATGGCCGGGCTAGGCTGGGGGCCATGCCACTGGCCACAGAAGGCCGGGCTAGGTTGGGGGCCACCCCACTGGTCATAGATGCCTGAGCTAGGCTGGGGGCCACCCCACCGGTCACAGATGCCTGAGATAGGCTGGGGGCCACCCCACTGATCACAGATGGCTGGGCTCGGCTGGGGGCCATGTCACCAGTCACAGATGCCTGAGATAGGCTGGGGGTCATCCCACCAATCATAGATGGCTGGGCTAGGCTGGGGGCTACCCCACTGGTCATAGATGCCTGGGATAGGCTGGGGGCCACCCCACCGGTCACAGATGGCCGGGCTAGGCTGGGGGCCACCGCACTGGTCATTGATGCCTGGGCTAGGCTGGGGACCACCCCACTAGTCATAGATGGTGGAGCTAGGCTGGGGGCCACCCCACTGGTCTTAGATACCTGGCCTAGGCTGGGGGCCACCCCACCAGTCACAGATGGCTGGGCTAGGCTGGGGGCTACCCCACTGGTCACAGATGGCTGGGCTAGACTCAGGGCCACTCCACTGGTCATAGATGCCTGGGATAGGCTGGGGGCCACCCCACTGGTCATAGATGTCTGGGCTAGGCTGGGAACCACCCCACTGGTCATAGTTGCCTGGGCTAGGCTGGGGGCCACCGCACCGGTCATTGATGCCTGGGCTAGGCTGGGGGCCACCCCACTAGTCATAGATGGTGGAGCTAGGCTGGGGGCCACCCCACTGGTCATAGATACCTGGCCTAGGCTGGGGGCCACCCCACCAGTCACAGATGGCTGGGCTAGGCTGGGGGCTACCCCACTGGTCACAGATGGCTGGGCTAGACTCAGGGCCACTCCACTGGTCATAGATGCCTGGGATAGGCTGGGGGCCACCCCACCGGTCACAGGTGGCTGGGCTAGGCTGGGGGCCACCCCACTGGTCATAGATGTCTGGGCTAGGCTGGGGACCACCCCACTGGTCATAGTTGCCTGGGCTAGGCTGGGGGCCACCGCACCAGTCATTGATGCCTGGGCTAGGCTGGGGGCCACCCCACTAGTCATAGATGGTGGAGCTAGGCTGGGGGCCACCCCACTGGTCATAGATACCTGGCCTAGGCTGGGGGCCACCCCACCAGTCACAGATGGCTGGGCTAGGCTGGGGGCCACCCCACTGGTCATAGATACCTGGGCTAGGCTGGGGACCACCCCACTGGTCATAGTTGCCTGGGCTAGGCTGGGGGCTACCCCACCGGTCACAGATGCCTGAGATAGGCTGGGGGCCACCCCACTGATCACAGATGGCTGGGCTCGGCTGGGGGCCACGTCACCAGTAACAGATGCCTGAGATAGGCTGGGGGTCACCCCACCGATCATAGATGGCTGGGCTAGGCTGGGGGTCACCCCACTGGTCACAGATGGCTGGGCTAGGCTGGGGGCTACCCCACTGGTCATAGATGCCTGGGATAGGCTGGGGGCCACCCCACCGGTCACAGATGGCCGGGCTAGGCTGGGGGCCACCGCACTGGCCATTGATGCCTGGGCTAGGCTGGGGGCCACCCCACTAGTCATAGATGGTGGAGCTAGGCTGGGGGCCACCCCACTGGTCATAGATACCTGGCCTAGGCTGGGGGCCACCCCACCAGTCACAGATGGCTGGGCTAGGCTGGGGGCTACCCCACTGGTCACAGATGGCTGGGCTAGACTCAGGGCCACCCCACTGGTCATAGTTGCCTGGGCTAGGCTGGGGGCCACCTCTCCAGTCACAAATGGCTGGACTATGTTTGTGGCTCCCCGACCAGTCGTCGATGGCTGGGCCAGGCTGGGGGTCATCCCACTAGCCCAAGATTTCTGGTCTAGGCTCAGGTTCACCTTACTAGGCCTAGGTGGCTCAGTTAGGCTGGGGATGACCTTAGTAGCCATCGATAATTCAGATGTGCTACAGGTGACCTTACTGACCATAAATGGCTGGCCTGGGTTTGGGGCCATCTTACTGACCACCGGTGACTGGGATAGGCTTGAGGTCAGCCTAGTGGCCGCGGATGGCTGCTGATATGTGGTAGGGACCACATTATCCAAAGACAGACTTCTGGTCAGTCCTGTCCTGTAGGATTTCTGGGACAATCTTTCCCTCAGGTCCATGGAGCTTTGGCCTGAGGTCATATCCCTCTCATCCTGATCATCTGAGCTCCAGTGGACACTCAAGGTCATGCGGCCGGACACTGAGCTGTGGTGCAGAATGGGGATCAGCTCTGAGCCTGCAGAGGGCTGTTCGTAGAGGTTTGGAGTCATATGTCCCCAGCCCGCTTTCTTGGTTTCTTCCCTGTCTCTAGGCCTCTGGGGCCTCCCCACAGCCTCTCCAGAGAGGAGGGTATCTAGATGGATATCCCCATCCAAGCAGGCCTCCCAGGACTCCTGCTCCACCAGTTCGACAGCAGTTAGACTGGCCACAGACATGGTGGAGAGGCTGAGTGAGCCGCAACTAGGCAGTGAGCTCTGGGAGTTACTCACATTTGGACCATAGTCTATGGAGCCTTGGGAGAGGCTTCCAGCCATGTCATTGTCTGGACCCTGGGGCAAACTGGCCGCCAGTTCATTGAGTATATGGCCAGTCACTCGCTCTGGTGGGCAGCGCGCACTGGAAATGGTGCCCTGGTTTTGATTCCTCTCCTGCCTGGGGACGGCTGTACGGGAAAGGGTGCGTGCAAACCTCCTGCCTGGGGAGGCTGGGAACACACTGGGATCTGCCTGAGTCTTGAGTGCCCAGCGAGGACCAGGAGCCATGGAGCCAGGCAAGAGACCTAGGGTTATGTCACCAGCCTTGGGGTTCTGGGGTTGGGTTAGGGACATTTTGCTCACAGTGGCAGCCCTCAGTGGACCTGGGGTCGCCTTATTGATCCTCTCCCTAGTGTTCACGGAGGCCTGTTTGTGATTTGGGGACTGAGTTTTCTGCATGGTCTCCTCACGGACCACGGGTGGCTGTCGTGGAACTTTGGTGGCTGAGGGTCGGTACCTGCTGGAGGGCACCTTGTTGACCCCGGAGGGCTGACAGCAACAAACAGATGCCCCATAGGCAGCAGTACTCTGGTGGGAGTGCAGAGCCCTCCCAGCACCCGCAGTGCGGGGGAGCATACCCGAGGCCACCCGGCCCTCCCCCGACGACGCCCACAGACGTGGGGCCACCCTGCTGACCGCATGTGGCTTATGGGAGCTCGGGGCTCTGCCACCAGCCACCACCGATTGCTGGCTGGTGCTTGGGCCCACACCATTGGCAATGAGCGGCTGCCACAGGCTGGGGGGCAGCTGCAGGTGGGGTGGCTTGGGCAAACTGGGGTCCGTGTCACTCTCCACGGGGTTGAGATCTGATGCCAATTCACTGGCCCCTGGGGGCAGGCACACGTTTTCCTCACTGACCTCAGGGCTCAGATATAGGTCTGAGGAGGAGCCCCTGCTGGACTCCATCTCCCATGATAGACTGGGGTCCAGGGCAGCGATCAGGGGATACTGATGAATGGCAGTGATCACTCTACTAGCCAGGGAAGCACCCATAGAGACCACCGGAAAGCAGGGTGACCCCCCGAGCATGGCCCCATCCCCCATCTCTTCCAAGAACCTGGCAGGCCAGCCTGTGGAGAAGCCCTCCCAGGCCCCGTCCTGGGGAACCCTAACCTTGCTGGGCTGTGGTCTCACGGGGCCTAGGGCGGGCCCCCATGCAGTCGATGGGATCCCCCTGTGGTCCACCTCCACCGGGGCTGGGATCACAGTCATCCTGTTTCCTGCTGTTTTCGAGGAGGCCTTGGGGAGGACAACGCCAGTCCTCAGGGCCGCCTGAGACAAAGACTGGCTCAGGACAGCGCCCAGCTCCCCCTGACACAGGGCCTGGCTCAGAGCGGCCCACTCCTCCTCTGTCAGGGCCTTGCTGAGCACGTCCGCCAGTTTACCCTGCTTGGCCTTGGTAAGTTCTGCCCGCAACTCGCCGGGGGACAGGGTGCGGGACAGCGCAAGGCCCAGCTCGCCCCAGGATAGCATTTTCATCAGCGCTGTGCCCAGCATGCCCTGGGGCAGGGCCTTGGCCATTGTGGAGCCCAGGACTCTCTTGGACAGGGCCTGGTTCAGGGCTGCCTTCACTTGGCCCTGGGAGAGGGCTTTTACCAGTAGGGCACGGAGGTCCTCCTGGGAGCCCAGTTCGGCAGCCAGCTCAGTGCCCAGGGAGGCGAGCTGGGAGGCAGTCAGCTCTTCCGGGCAGGGTGTGGCCGGGCTGGGCATCGGTGACTGGGCCCGGGTAGCCCCACTGTCACCCCAGGATTCAATGTTACATGTGGGGTGTCCGGCAGAGGCCAGCAGAGGCACCAGCATGCTCCGGGTCTCGGAGGCCCCCTGGCGTGGGCCCGGGGTGCCTTTGCCCTGCACATAACTGTGGGGTTGGATCTGAGTCAGTCTGTCCTCTGGCTTGGCTCGGGGTGGAGTGCCAAGGGCACCAACGTGCTGGCAGGGCTGGGTGGAGGCCTTGAACCCGGCCAGGAGTGGCTGCGACTGGGTCTTGCCGCTGAGCTCAGCAGCTTGGTGGGCCGTGTGGAGGCACTTGGCGGTTTCTGGGACCAGCTGGGCCTGGGACTGCACCTTGGTCAGCCCGATGGACTGATGTGCTTGAGACTGGACCTTTATCACCCCTGTGGCCAGATGCGCTTGGGACTGTGCCTTGGTCAGACACGTGCCCAGATGTGCGAAGGACGGGGCCTTGGTCAGCTTGGCAGGTGGATGTGCCTGGGACAGGGCCTTGGACAGACACGTGCCCAGATGGGTCTGAGCCTGAGTTGTGGTCAGCCTGGCGTGCGGATGTGCCTGGGGCAGGGTCTTAGACAGACATGTGCCCAGATGGGCCTGGGGCAGAACCGCAGTCAGTTCGGCAAGCAGCTGTCCCTGGGACGAGGCTGTGGTCGAACAGGTGGCCAGCCGTTCTTGGGGCAGGGCCTTGGCCAGACATGTATCCAGATGTGTCTGGGGCATGGCCTTGGCCGGACATGTGGCCAGCTGGGCCCGGGGCAGGACCACGGCTGTTTCTCCGGGCGCATACACCTGGGACTGAACCTTCACATCTGCCCTCAGATGTGTCTGTAATGAGGACTTGTTCCTGTCCTCAGCCATTTTCACCCAGGGTGAAGCCCGGGGCGTTTCAATGGCCACACTGGTACTAGACACTGTTTCTGTTTTCACCTCCTTCTGGGAGAAGACCTTCATTTTTTCAGCTTCCAAAGGAGGCTTGGCTGGAGCCTTGGGGGCCCCAGCTCCCAGATGCGGTGAGTTAAAGTATTTGATCTTTCCCTCAGCCAAGTATGAGTGAGAAGAGACCCTGACCATCCCTGCTGTCTGCTTTGTGTTCACCACAGCCTTGGCCTTCGGTCCGTTCAGACTCGTGTGGGATGAGGCGTTGGGAATTCCAGCTGCCACAGCTACCGGAGGTGAAGACTTCAGATTTCCACCTGCTGAAGGTGGCAGGCATAGGGTCCTGAGAATGGCGGCCATTGAGCGAAATTGGGCTGGGGTTTTGGTGACCATGGCTGCCAGACGCGTCTGGGGAGGGGTCTTGGTCACTGAGGCCCCGGGGAGCGTCTGAGATGGAGTCTTGGCCATGGCAGCTGCTGGACACGTCTGCAGCGGGGTCTTGGTCATCGGGGCTACCGGGCGCATCTGGGTTGGAGTCTTGGTCATGGCGGGCACTGGGCACGTTTGGGGTGGAGCCTTGGTCATTGTGGCCACAGGCCGTGTCTGAGTTTGGGGCTTAATCATCGAGGCCAAAAGGCATATCTGCGGCGAGATCTTGGCCATGATGGCTGCCGGTCGTGTCTGGGGAGAAGTGTTGGTCATTGAGGCTGTTGGTCGCATCTGGGTTGGGGTCTTGGACATCGGGGCTGCTGGGCATGGCTGCGGTGGGGTCTTATTCACCAGGGCCGCCAGGCATGACTGAAGTGGGGTCTTGCTCATGGCGGCTGGCTGGGATGCCTGGGGTGAAGTCTTGGTCATTGCAGCCACCGGGCATGTCTGGGGTGGGCTCCTGGCCACTGGGCCTACCTGGTACGTCTGGGGTGGGGCCTTGGTTATTGTTACCGTGGGCGCTGAGCATGGCTGGGGTGGGGTCTTGTTCATCATGGCTGCCAGGCATGACTGGAGTGGAGTCTTGGTAATCGCGACCGCAGGGTACGTCTGGGGTGGGGTCTTGGTCATGGCAGCCGCTGGGTACATCTGGGTTAGGGTCCTGGTCATCCTGGCCACTGGGTATACCTGGGGTGGGGTCTTGGCTAGTGTTACTGTGGGCACGAGGCATGGCTGGGGTGGGGTCTTGGGCATTGCGGCCACTGGATACATCTGGGGTGGGCCTGTCTGGAGTGGGGCTTTTAGGACCTCTGTTTCCACGTGGGTCTGGGCCTGGGTCTTGAGTGATCCGTGAACTGCCTGGGCATACCTTCCACATGGGAGTGGCCCTGGGGCTCCTGCCTTGCTGGCTCTGGTAATTACTTGCTTGGTCTTCACCGTGTCCCCTTCAACGTGGACAAGGCAGGGATTTCTGACAGTTCTTGTCAGCAGGCATGGGTGGCACTTTGCATCTAGACTTGCCGGACATGGAAGTCTCATGGCAACGGTCTGGTGTGGCAGGAAGGTGATGCCAGGGTCCCCAGTGGTGCAAGGTGGAGCAAGCTGGGCCTGCAGGAAGGCCAGCTGGTGGGTGCAGGCAGCCAGGGTGTTGGAGGAGGGGAACTGGGTCTCTTTGCTCACCATGACAGGCGGGGCCACAGGGGGTTTGCTCTCTTTTGGATGCTGGAACCGCACCTGCTGGGGGGCATGGTAAGGGATGTCGCCCTCCTCCATGCTCACTTTTTTTTCCACCAACTTGCCAGACCGGAGGAGACGCCTGGTGTTGAAGCGTCGCCAGGCCTCCTGGATGGCCTTTGCTGCCATCATCTGGGAGATCAGCTTTTGCCGGAGCCGGTAGCCCCTCCAGTTGGCTTGGATGAGGGTGGCTGCACGGGAGAGCATCATGTCCATCTCATCCACCAGGACGTTCTTGAAGGCCTGGCTCTCGACCACAGCCCGCAGGCGTGGGATGTGACGAGGCACCATCTTGTCCTTGTCATACTGCTGCAGAAGGGTCTCCCTGGACGCCAGTGGCTTGTGCTGAGGCTGTGGACTCAGTGTCCCTGCTTTGTCTTGGAGACTGGAGACAGACTGGGGCTGGTAGAGGCTCTGCCCATCGGGTGACAACTGTAACTGTGTTGCTTCCTGCATTGTCTTGGTTCCTGGGCGGGTCAGCGCTGCCTGTGGAGGGTGACAGGGAGGTAGACAGAGTGGGATCATACAGACAAGAGGTCTCCTGGCTGGAGCGAGCCCTCCGGGACCTACAGCTTCTCGTTCCTGACACCTTGCAATCTTCCTCCTCTCCTTTGCAGGCCCTCCCTCTCCCAGCCACCTGCCCCGATGGCCTCTGCTACCTACGTCTCCCTCATGATCCTGTGGTCACTTCAACACTGGCAATAATGCACATTCTCAGCTGCATGCCAACCATCTTCTTGCTCCAATTTCCTTTATATCTGGAGCACACTCTGAATCGCACTGATCACACTGTTTTGGAAATTTCCTATTTGTCTCTGTGTGTGTGCGTATGTGTGTTGTTATTATTTGCCTCTCTCTATTTACTGTGAATTCCTAGAGGGCAGGAACCAGCTCTGCGTCATTTCTGTGTCCCCATCTCAGTCATAGGGCCTGGTTCCGGGCTGTTCGGTGGGTGGCTAGCTTCATAAATGAGTGGCTGAGTGGATTGGAAGTTGGGTAGATAGATGGATGAGTGACTAGATACTGAATGGTTAAATCTGGATAAGTGAATGGTGGATGGGTTGGAAAGATGGATAACGGGTTGTGTGGAAGAATAAGTAGGTAAATGAAGTTGATGAATGAATTGATGAACAGATCAATAAATAAGGAAATGGATACATGGGTGGATGGACGGATGGATGGATGAGTGGGTACATGAATGAATGAGTGGATGGATGCATAGGAGGGAGGGGTAAAGGAGGGAGGAATGGATGGATGGACAGACGAGCGAGTAGAGGAGGGATGAGATCTGAGTAGATAAAGGAGTGCGTGAATGGAGAGAGCCGAAGGAATTGGTGAAGAGATCAATGAATAAGAGGTAGACTGATGAACGGCTAGATGGATCAGTGGCATAGATGATGGATGACTGATAGATGATGGGTAGATCACTGGCAGATGGGTGGGTAGAAGAATGAGGGGGTGACTGTGGTTTCCAGAAGCACCTTGGTTCAGTGGGAACGGGGATACTGCCAAGCAGCCCTGATATGTCACCTGGAGCATAACACGCTTGTTGGGCAGAAGCCCACCCCACCCTCTTTCTGGCTGAAACAGCCGATTCCCTTCCCAGACATCTTCATACCTTGGAGGGCCATAGAGTTGGAGGAGGAGCAGGAGGAGAAGGTGCAATCTCAGAGGCCAGCTTGCAAGAGGAAGCAGCCTTCATTCAGTCCTTCATCCCATGCAACATGCAGCAACACTGCCCTGGGCTGGCTCTGTCCTCAAGACAAATGTGAGAAGAGATGTTAAAAGAGAAACAAAAACAAAAACAAAGAACCCTAACATCTCAAAACAAAAACCAAAAACTTTTAAGTCCACAAAGATGAATGTACAAAGAAGTTTATACTAGTGTTCTTTTCTATGTAAAAGCAAAACAACTAGAAATAACCAAAAAGGTGATTGCTAAGGGGTCAGTTAAAAGTGCAAAAAGGAGGATGTTCAAAGATGTTCATCACTGTATTGTTTTTTGTTTTTTGTTTTTTGTTTTAAGATTTTATTTATTTATTTGACAGAGAGAGAGAGACAGCGAGAGAGGGAACACAAGCAGGGGGAGTGGGAGAGGGAGAAGCAGGCTCCCCGCTGAGCAGGGAGTCCGATGTGGGGCTCGATCCCAGGACCCCGGGATCATGACCCAAGCCGAAGGCAGACGCTTAACGACTGAGCCACCCAGGCGCCCCATCACTGTATTGTTTATGAAGAGTAAAAACTGAAAACAACTCGGGGCACCTGGGTGGCTCAGTCGGTTAAGTGTCTGCCTTCAGCTCAGGTCATGATCCCAGGGTCCTGGGATCAAGCCCTGCATCAGGCTCCTGCTCAGCAGGGAAGCCTGCTTCCCCCTCTCCCACTCCCCCTACTTGTGTTCCCTCTCTCGCTGTGTCTCTCTGTCAAATAAATAAATAAAATGTTAAAAAAAAAACACTGAAAACAACTCAAATGCTTATCCACAGGAGGTGGCTTAAATTAAACAGAATATTCATACAGTGGTAATGGTGTCCAGATCCACAAAAATGGTTAAAATTGAAAAGATGGACACATTATGACCAACTGGGGAAATTGTTAGTGTCTTGAAGGCAACTTGTCGATTCCACCCTGATATTTACATTCAAGAGGTACAAGTGTTCACATTCACCCAAACCAGAAACCATCCAAATGCCCATTGACGGAAGACTTAAATTCAACCATATCAGTAACTGACAGGATAATAGACTAAAAACTTTAAGACAAAGATGATCAAAATAGATTCATTTTCAAAGACCCATGTGTTGCCTCCTTTCACGGTAAGAATTCTAGCTTCACCTATGTGATGGCCTGAATGTCCTGCCCCTGCCCAGTCTTCACCCCAACCCTAAAATGGGCTGGGTTCATTCAGAACAAGCATCAGTGTGAACTGGATCATAACAACAAATGGGCCTGAGACTGGTTCTCCTGGAGGTGGGCAGAGTCATTGTCCCCATTTCACAGAGGAGGAACCTGAGGCCCAGAGAAGCCAACATACCATATTTCTTACTTCTTTAAGTTATTTCTGATTTACCTCCCTCACTGAACTATGAACTGCCCATGGGTAGAGATGTCCGTCTCTTTTGTTTGCTGTTGAATCCCCAATGCCTAGAACAGTACACACAATAGGTGCTCAATAGATGTTTATGCATGGATGGATGGATGGATGGATGGATAGATGGATGAGTGGATGGAGTGGATGGATGGATGGATGAGTGGATGGATAGATAGATGGATGAGTGGATGGATGGATGGATGAGTGGATGGATGGATAGATGAGCGGATGGATGGATGGATGGATGGATGGATGGATGAGTATCACCTAAGCTTCAGAACTTAGAGAGAACAGCTTCAGGATCTGAACTGGCCTATCCCAGAGTCTGCAGTTTCACCAACCACATGGTTCAGCCCTTTCAACAAACTCATCCAGAATGAGTGAACAAACAGACAACAGAGTTGAGAGGAAAGTGATTACAGGGGACAGGAAAAAGGAATAGGGGCCCCCAGACATGTAAGCCAAGTGGCTGGCTTGGCAATTTTGAGTAAACCCCTCTGAGTCTCAGTTTCCTTGTCACACAAGCTAACACCATTTTCCCAGCCTCCCAAGGAAACATGATCGATTCTCCAGGCTGGGACCCCAGACAGACAAACCCACCATCAGGTTTTTGGGGGGCCCCAAATGCCCCTGCTCTGAGGGGCTGAGAAGCTGACCCACTTCTTGAAGTGGCCTGGAGGGCCCAAGGAGCCTCTGAGGATGATGAGGGCCAGGGGAGAACAACCCAGTCTCCGTGTACCCCCCACCAAACCCTCCACCAGATCCACTCACCTGCTCCTGAAGCTGAACCCACCAGCCCGAATGGCCAGCTTTGGGGCCCTGGTCCCACAATGGCTTTGTGACTCACAGCCAAGTTCCAGCCAATCCCCATCAGCTCCTGGAGGAAGGGGGTTCTAGAAGGCCAACCCCATGTCGGGGGGAGGACCTAGCTCAGGGCTGAGGCTCATGGTGGTTGCTACATATTGCCTGCCTGTACTGAACAGAAAATTAGGGCTCTGAGCAGAGAAGGGGCCCCAAATTCTTCCCCTACATGTGTCTCAAGGCAGACTCAGTCTCACATACCTTGGGCATTTGTTGAACGCCTCCCTTTGTTCTTTTAAAGATTTTACTTTTAAGTAATCTCTACACCCAACGTGGGGCTCAAACTTAGACCCCCGAGATCCAGAGTCACGTGCTCTACCGACTGAGCCCGCCGGGTGCCTCTGAACACTTAACTTTGTTTTTTTGTTTTGTTTTGGTTTTTTTGGTTTTTTTGTTTTTTCTAAAGATTTTATTTATTTATTTGACAGAGAGAAACACAGTGAGAGAGGGAACACAAGCAGGGGGAGTGTGAGAGGGAGAAGCAGGCTTCCCACCGAGCAGGGAGCCCAATGTGGGGCTCGATCCCGGAACCCTGGGATCATGACCTGAGCCGAAGGCAGACGCTTAACGACTGAGCCACCCAGGCGCCCCTGAACACTTAACTTTGTAGTGAGACCTGATCTGGGCCTGGGGACACACACAACTCAAATAATTTGAGTGTGTGAAATGGATAGGAAGGAATCAAAGAGGGGGGTGGATGGGCTGAGTCCCGCAGGAGAAGGAGGAGGAGGAGGAGAGCTGGGGGAAGGGCTCCCAGGCAGAGGCCACAGCACAGGCAAAGGTCCCAAAGTGAGAAGAAGTTGGGCATGATTAGGAAATGCGGAGGCTGATGTGGTTGGAGGCAAGGAGAAGAGGGTCAGGAGGTGGAGTGCCGAATAGGTGGGACCTCAGAGAGGAGTGTGAGAGTTTGGGTTTGGGGTGCCTGGGTGGCTCAGTCGGTTAAGCATCTGCCTTCGGCTCGGGTCATGATCCCAGGGTCCTGGGATCGAGCCCCACGTCGGGTTCCCTGCTCAGCAGGAAGCCTGCTTCTCCCTCTCCCACTCCCCCTGCTTTTGTTCCCTCTCTCGCTGTCTCTGTCTTCAAATAAATAAAATCTTAAAAAAAAAAAAAGTTTGGGTTTTATCAAGAAGGCCCCGCAGGAGCCACGAGAGGGTCCAGAGCAAAGGAGGCACATCTCTTGTACCCTGATTCACATCCTAAAAGGCCAGGCGGGTATCTGTCTGGCTCTGAGGATGGGGGCTCCTTAGGTGGAGCTGGGCCCAAGGTTCCTTGGGATCCCCATATGGGACTGGGAACAGTGGGTATTGACTCTGAGCCATAGTCATGAAGGGGAAAGTGAGGCCACCGTCCCCATCCACCTCCTGGGGCTAGGCTGATGCCTGGTATGAGTCACTGCTGGCCAGGCTGGGGCTGACACACATCTTGGCCTCAGCTCAGCAGGGTCCTGCCAAAGCCACACAGCCTGGCCCGGCAGCCTCACTTCCCTGGGGAGCCACTGGGAGGCACGAAAGCAAGAGGCAAGCAGGGATACCCAGCCTTACTCGGCAGTTAGCCCCTCATCTTCTCCATGCTGTGGGTGTAGCTTTGGGCAGAACCAGAGACATGACAGTTGGACAGGACTTATGTCCTTGGTCTCAACAATGACCAGGACAGCTCTCATCCATGCCCTCCGTGAGCTCAACACAAATCCAGGGTGGTCAGGGCAATAATGGTGGAAGTACACAGCACTGTGGGAACCCAAGAAGGCCCTAGCCCAGCCTGGAGGTTGTTGGGGATCAGGAGGACAACCGCAGCTGAGTTTGAGCGAAGGTCAGCTGGGTAGCTGAGGGAAGAAGTGTTATCTGGCTTGTAGCCATGCAAAGGCCCTGAGGCCAAAAGGGAAGGAAGTAGAGTTTGGGTAGGGAGGTGCCTGGAGCGACATTGATCTTTCCAGGGCCAGATGCACTCAAGGACTTTTTTCCATAAAGGGTTCAAGTAGGGAGTCAGATCTGTGGTTTCCAAAAAGCCCCATGTCACGTGCTAGTGAACACATAGGGCCTCCACTTAGGCCCAAGGCTCCTGGGAGGCAGGCAAGAGTCCAGGGTTCTAGCCCCTGCTCTGTCATTTAGCAGGAGTGGGATACAATAAGATATATTTGGTCTTTGTCCCTGGTCCCCGGCACTCAGCTCCTAAAACTCTCAAAATCTCTGGGAGTGATAAGTGTCTTTAAAAAAAAAAAAAAAAAAGATTGATTTGAGAGGGAGTGCCTGCGAGAGTACAAGTGGGAGGGGCAGAGGGAGAGGGGAGAGAATCTAAAGCGAACACCGAGCTGAGCGCAGAGCCCAACATGGGGCTCGATCTCACTACCCTGAGATCACAACCTGAGCCGAAACCCAGTTGGACACCTAACCGAGCATGCCACCCAGGCACCCCGATAAGTATCTTATGCTAATAAGATGAGTGGTGGCTGGGGACCAGCAGATAGCTTCAGGATGGGGGCTGGTCCCCAGAAAGATGGAGAGAGTAGACAGTTGGAGGTTTCAGCTGCACCTCCCAGACCTCCTGGGAGAGGAGAGGCGCTGGAGATTGAACTAATCACCAAAGGCCAATGATTTAACCAATCACGCCGGTGGAATGAAACCAGTGGGGGTCCGAGAGCTTCTTAGTTGGTGAAAACATGGACAGACTGGGAGGGTGGCGCACTCAGACAGGGCATGGAAGTTCAACGTCCCTTCCACTGTGCATCTCCCCCACCTGGCTGTTCCTGAGTTGAAGCCTTTATAATAAACCAGTAATACAGGCGCCTGGGTGGCTCAGTCGGTTAAGCATCTGCCTTCGGCTCGGGTCATGATCCCGAGGTCCTGGGATCAAATCCCGCATGGCGCAATCTGCTCAGAGGGCAGTCTGCTTCTCCCTCTGCCTCTGCCCCTCCCCATCACTCGTGCTCTGTCTCCCTGTCTCAAATAAAATCTTCAAAGTAAATAAATAAACCAGTAATAGTAAATAAAGCACTTTCCTAGGCTCTGTGAGCTGTTTTAGCAAATTATGGAAACTGGGGTGGGGGGTGGGGAAACCCTTGGTTTAGGGCTTGCTGTTCAGAAGTCCAGGTGGCAACCTGAGACTTCCAAATGGCATTTAAGTGGGGATGGTGTTGTGGGACTAAGCCCCTCGCCTGTAGGGTCTATGCTCACTTCAGGTAGTGTCAGAACTGAACTGTAGGACACCTGGGTGGTGTCTAGAAAATTGAGCTGGTTGGTGTGGGGAAACCGCGCCCCCCCCCAACACAACTGCATCAGGATAATGAGTAAAAGAGTTCAGGGGTCAACATGCAGATCTCCCAACCTCCTGGGCCTCCCCTTCTCTATAGGTTGGGGGTGCACGGGGAGCCCTTGAGTGTCATTATTATTCATCCACCAAACAGATATGGGAGATGTTACCTGGACATGAACCTACCCATTTCATAGCATAGAAGGTAGACGGGGCAGGGGGAGAGGACTTGGTTGAGGTTACACAGTGGCCAACTGGCACCCAAGTTGAGACTCAGCCTCCTGAAGAGTGAAGCTCTGCTCCCAAAATGTGGTTCTTGGTCTCCTCTGTGTCAAGACACCCCCACCTCAGCTTCAGCCTCTCACTGCTGGGCGCCCTCCTGAACGTCTGCCTGAGGGCGGTGCAAGGTGAGATCACGTGGTTAAAAACCAAATCCCAAAGCAGCTCTTGAAGCCTTGAAAAGTAGGCAGTCAGGGTGATCAGAAGAGGAAACAGGTGGTGAGGCCCCACCCTGTCAATGGCAGAGGGATAGTGGGCACGTGCTGGTCCTTCTTTGCACCTCTGTTCCCCCATCTGTAAAACAGGAACGATTCACCCGCCTCCCCTAGCAGGGCTGGGTATACAGCTGGTGCTCAGCACATGTCCACCAGCTCGACTTGCCCTGTGTCCTTGACCACCAATGCCTAGGTCCCTCCAGGCCCCAAGTGAGGCAGAAAGCCCAAGGCCCAGGGTCTTTTGCCCACACAACAGCAAGGGTCAGGGTAGGCAGGGGATGAAGGCAGTGCGACCGTCAAGGCTCTGGAGGTTTGAAGCTTAAGGTATAAATGTCCCTGAAAACTCCTAAAAATTGCAGGCTGTGCAACCTCAGATCACTCAACCTCTCTGAACATGAGTTTCCTCAAAATGGGAGACTAGGATGTTGGGAAGGGAGAGGTCTTCAGGGAGTACTTGGAAAATCCTGACTCCAAGTCCGTGCCCTAAGAGGAAGGTCCCACGGAACGTAGCTACACCACCAGTCCTGGAGGCAGACTGCCCAAGTCAGATCCCACTTGGGCCACTTTCCTTCTGGTCCCGAGACTCAGCAACCCCCATCCACCAGACAATAATCAAAGCTTACACTGAGCACCAACTGTAAGCCAAGCACTGCTCTGTGAACAAACTGCTGATCCTCCAACTTTATGGGGCAAGCTTACAACTGTTCCGCCCATTTTGCAGACAGGGTAAGAGAGGCCCAGAGGTTCAAGTTTTTGCCTTTTCCTACCTGCCTGGGACTGGGCTGTCCTCTTTCCATCTTGTAGTCTCTCTTTCCTGAAGGGGACACCCGTGGGCTCGCTAGTTCCAAACGCTGGTTGGAGATCCCAATATCCCTCACCTAACCTGGACATCAGTCGGCCCCAAGCCCAGGAGCGCCTAGATGGCGCTCGTTGAGCGCCAGCTGTGCAAGGCCCCTCCCGCACGCCGGCTCTCCTCCTCCGAACAGAGGCGGAGGGAGGAGGGGGAAGGAGGCGAGGGAGGGGGGAGGGGAGCGTGCGAGCCAGGCCCTGCCCAGCCCATCAGGCCCCGGCGGGGGAAGAAGGAGGCAGAGAGCCGAGCTGGCGTTAACGAGACTTTACTGAAAACAGAAAACCGGGCAAACCAAGGATTACAAACAGGAATGTGGACTCGTAGCAAAACAAAACAACAGAACAAAAAGGGCGGGAGGAGGGATGTAGGAAGGACGGAAGGGGGGGGGGGGAAGCAAGAGCGAGGAAAGGGAAGGGAGTTTTTTTTTTTTTTCTTCTTCCCATTTCTTTAAAAAACCAACACAAGAAAAAACACACACACACAACCAACGTTTGTTCCCAAGTAGAAACATAAATAGGGCAGAATCGAACACTCTGTTTCTTCTCTCTTCCAAAAGCAAAAAAAAAAAAAAGTAAAAGGAAAGGCAGGGTTTGAGGCTGCGCCCCCTCGGAGCCCCCTACGGCGGCGGTGTGTACAAAGGGGCGGCCGGGGCGCGCGGGTTTGTGCAACACTGGGTGGCCGCGCTCGGGGAACAGAGGCAGCGCGAGGGCGGGGGGGTCATGCGCTTGCCCCCGGGAGCAGGGGGTCCAGCTTGTCGAGTCTGAGGCGCCCTCTCCGAGTCCTGGGCACCCTCGGGGGGTCCTCAGGGACCGCGCCCTCTCGGAATCCTGGCACCCTCGGGGTGAGGGGGGGTGTTCCCGGGGCCGCGCCCTCTCCGAGTCCGGGGGCGCCCACGCCCCCCCACACACGAGCCCGCCTCCCGGGGAGGGGGCCGCGCATGCGCCCCGCGCGCGGGCTCAGTACGCGGACACCTGGTGCTGGGGCAGCAGCTGGCAGCCGCTGTTGACGTGGCTGAGGACCTTCTGCTTGAGCTGCGCCACCTGCTCGCGCAGCAGGCTCGCTGTGGACGCCAGCTCCGTGTTCTGGCTCTTGAGCGTCTTCACTTTCTCCTCGAGGCGCGAGATGCGCTCCAGCTTGCGCTTGCGGCACTTAGAGGCAGCGATGCGGTTGCGCAGCCGCTTGCGCTCCGCCTTAATGCGCTCCTGCGTGTCCATGTCGATGGGCGACAACGGCGGGCTCTCGCCGAAGCTTGGCACGTCGGGCACCGTCTGCGGCTCATCCTTGAGCGCGGTCAGGCGGGGCGGTCCCAGCGCGCCTGGGGGCGGCGGTGGAGGGAAGGGCACAGGCTCGGCGGCGAAGGCGACCGTCGCAGCACCCCCCGAACCCCCAGTGCCGCCCGCGTAGCTGCTCAGGTTCGCGTAGACGGGCGCCTCGGGCGTGGCTGCCGCCGGGGCCAGTTCGCCAGGAGGCGCGGCGCCCGCAGCCGTGCTCGAGGGTCCCCCGGCGGCCGCGGCAGCAGAGGCCGCGCCCGTGCCCAGCTGGTTCTGCTTGTGCAAGTCCTCCAGGGCCTTGACGAAGCCCTCGGCAAACTCCTGCTCCTCGCTGGCCGCCACCTTGGGGTAGAGGAACTGAGTGCTCGTCGGCGTGGTGGTGACCAGCCCGTTGGACTGGATGATTAGGCGCTCGAGCTCGGGCGAGGCGAGCTTGAGCAGCCCCAGGTCGGGCGAGGCGAGCAGGCCGTCGGGGGGCGCCGCGCCTGGGGCGCCGTCGGTGCGCAGGGGGGCCGGGGGCGGCGCGGCCGCGGGCTTGAGCGCCGCCGCCACCTGCTCGCTCAGGCTCAGCGTCAGCGCGTCTTTCTTCATCATGCTGCCAGTCGCTGCCGTCGGGGGCGCCCCGGGGAACAGGCGACCCGGGGACGCGAAGCTACCACCGCCGCCACTGCTACTGACGCCGCCGCCCAGGCCGCTCAGCGCCTCATCGCCGTAGAAGGGTGTTTCCATCCTCCGCCTCCCCCGCCGCGCCGGCCCGGGGAGGGGAGGGGGGAGTGGCCGCGGCCGCCCGGGGGGCCTGCGCCCCCCCGTCCGCTCGGCCCTGCGCCCGCCCCGGCCGAGGCCGCTGCGCCCGGCCCTCCGCTGGCGGCGGCTTCTGCGCCGCGCACTTCGCGCGCGCTCTTATAGCCTCGGCCCAGCGCGATGAGCTCACTGCCCCCGCTCGCCATTGGGCGTGGGTGACGTCGCTCATTTGCATGGTGGGGCGGGGCCAAGCCGCTGACGCCCCCCCTGGCTGCCGTTGCCCCGGTGACGCGCGGTAAACCGCACAACAGCGCAAGGCCTTGTGGGTTGACGTCATGGGGGCGGGTCCCGCGCCCGGACCCGGTTACCCCGCCCCGGGAGCGCAGTGTACGACCAATGCCCCCAGCGCTGCCTCCCGCCAAGGCACGTCCCGGGTGGCGTGATGAGCATGGCCTCCAGCCGCCTGCCCGCCCCCAAGCCCCGCCCCGCATCCGCGCGTGGGGCCCCGGCTGGGCGGGGGCGGGGGCGGTGCCGGCCTCCGGGGACCCGCGGGGGATGGGGCCCGGATGGATAAATAACTCCCTGGCACCTCCCGCTCCACTACGCCTACAAGTGCCTTCGTTAGCGCACCTTTATCCTGGCTCTGTACGGGCTGGGGGCAGAAGGCCTTAGGGAGCTGTTCCCGGTGGCTCCCTGGGCGATTTGGCCAGATCTGCTTCTGTCTCACCTTTACCCCCAAATCTCCGGTCGTGTGTTTGCCCCAGAAAGACGAGGGACGGGAAAGAAGAGCTGCCAGAAGTTGCTGGAAGCGCTTTGATCCTGATACTTTTCACTGAGGAATCTAAAAGTTCGGAGTCCGACTAACTGGCTTTACAGACGGGAAACTGAGGCTCAGCAAGGTGTGACCAGGCCATAGACTTTTTATTCACCTGGTAGAACCCTGGCCTCCTGCTCCTGGGCAGCCGCCTGCATTTTTACTCTGCATCTGCCAGGGTCTGCTGTGGGTCCTGAGGTGAGGGTGGTTGACTGTAGTCCCCCCCAGTTTCCTCCTTAGCCGCCCTCCCCTTCCCAATTGTTAAGGCAGGAATCCCAGCTGGTAATTGTTAACTATTTAATACTGTTTTGTTATTGTCAATGCTCAATGGGCCTCCCTAAAGGCTGGCTGGAGATGGGATATGAGGGAGGAAGGAGGGAACAACCTATCCAGCACTTCCTAAGGACTCTTGGGACATCTGGGCCTGGCTGACAGCCCCTTCACACAACCCCTCCGTGGCTCCCGCCACACTCAGGATGGAGCCAATTTCTCAGCCAGATGGGGGAGGCCAAGCACCCTTCTTCCACTGACGCCCCTCTAACCTTTCACCTTCTCTGAGCCTTGGCCTCTCAGCCCATTGCTGCCTCAGGGTCTTTGCATATGCTTTGCCCTCTGTGTGATGCTCCCTTCCCCAGTGCAAACTTGTATCCTCGGAGAGGCTCCTCCCACTCACCTTATTTCCATTATAGCCTTGGAAGCACTCAGAATGACAGGGTGGACCCAAAGTTCCTGGAGGGCAGGGACCTCGTGTATCCTGAACATGCTGGGTCTCCAACATCCAGTACAGCACCTGGCTCAGTGTTAAAGGAGAACACTGCCTGGCCTGGTTGCTGTGGCAGTTTCTGGCCTTGGTTTGTCTGATTTGCCTGTGGGCATGAACATTCCCAGCCCCCAACCCCCAGTCTTCTGCCTCCCTGCCTCACCAGGCCCTGCCCCTAACTGGGCTCTGGAGCAAAAAGGCTAGGAAGGAAACTCACCATGAGCAAGAGGTGTGACCTGGTAGGCAATGACCCAGGGTGTGTCTATGTACACACAAATGTCTGTTTGTGCCTGTGTGTATTCATGTATGGATCCCTGTGCCCAGGTGTGTTCACGCATGAGGGTGGGGGTCTATGTGCCTGTGTGAGTCCATGCATATAGATCTGTCTGACTATATGTATCTCTGCGCCTGTATGTATATACATATATGTATACTGGTGGGTACGTATGTGTCCATTTGCGTACGTTTCTAGGCATGTAGGTTTCTGAGTCCTCCAGACATGCCCTCCCAGGTCCCAACCTGAGCAAAGGGACCCCTAATGGGAGGGGATGCAGCCCCCAGCCTGTTGCTAGCCTTGCTCTGAGACTCCTCTCTGGGCCTATGCAATGGGGCTAAATTGGAGGAAATGGGGCCATGCTTCTCCCCAGGGCAGGACGTGAGTGGGTGGCCTAGGGAGCCTCCACCCTGACCTTGGGCCTTAACCTTGACAAGTGGATGAATGGTCTGGTGAACTATGGGCAGAACCTGCCTGAGCTGAAAGACTGACCAGCAAACAGGCTTTGGGAAATGGAGGCACAAGGAGCCCAAGGCCTGTTACCTCTCTGAGTCTCCATTTCCTCCTCATGAAAACGGAGTGAATAATCTCACCCACCTCATGGAGTCTTGTGATTTTTGTTTTATTTATTTATTTATTTATTTATTTATTTATTTATTTAAGTAAACTCTACCCCATCATGGGGCTAGAACTCACGACCCTGAGATTCAAGAGTCGCATGCTCTACTGACTAAGCTGGCGAGGTGCCTTGAGTATTGTGATTTGTATTGGATTTGAAAAAATAGTAAGAACTCAATGTTTTCTATAAGTATTTTATCTTATTATTATTATTAGGCCACCCTTAACTGTGTATGGTTATTTGGTCTGGAGTTCCCTCAGCCTGGAGTGCCCTTCCTTATCCTCCAGGCAAGTTCCTACTCATGCTTCAAAACCCAATGTCTCCTCCTCCAGAAGCCTTCCCTAACCTGACGCCCAAGGAGTCCCCCCACCATCTGGCTGAGCCTGCCCACCATCTTTGTTGGGCTCTCTCGGCCCCAGATGGGGGAGGAGAGGGTCCTTGAGGCTGGATAGAGAGGACCTGTCTTGGCCCTTGCCAGCTCCACTTTTCAAGGCCTGGATCCTTCAGTCTCCACTGCTGTGCATTTGCTGTTCCCTCTGACCCAACGATTTTCCCTACCTTCTCCTTCATCCTAGCCAGGCAGCCCTCCAGGACACTCCAGTCCTGCTCTTCC